AATAAAAGTAGACTATTAAAAAATTTCAGAAAATAAAGAATAATTTTTAAAGGTTAAAAATTATTTCATAATTATATATATTATTGATATTTTATAATCAAATTTTACATTTAAAATATATTAATTTTTAATGTAAAATTTGATTATGAAATATCATATAAAAATATTTTATCTTAATTATTCACCTAATATAAACAAACTCGTATGGATATAAAACATTATCAGTCTTGTAAAATGATAAAAGAGTGGAGAAAAGTATGAAATGACTTTTCATATCTATCTCTCTTCTCATATATATTTCCAGAAATATATTATAGTATATTTTGCAATGCAAAACTGATGATAAGATCAGTTTGAATAAAGATTTCAAAATTTACATGTTAGCTAAAAATTCATACATTTGAGAGATTTTCTAACTCTCCTTAGACACGAGTAAAGTGTGTCGACTTTCTCGGTGGTTGTTACCCACCTTTTACGATGCCAAGCAGGGAGCATAAATCATACACGTCACAGGACAGAAAGCGATGGTAGCAGCAATGATAAACCCAATCTCTGCAATACACGTGCAAAATGTAACAAACTGCGACCGATTTCATGTGTCCAATAAATTAAAGAGAAAGAAAGTAGCCCTGGTATACCTTGTATAGGATCTAAAGATAACAATGCCAAAAGTAAATCATAAACTATCAACCTTAGTAGAAAGTGAGAAAGAAGAAAAGGAAAATAATAATAAAATAAAATAAAAAAACGAAGTTAAAATGAGTTAAACAATAAAACACGGTTGTAAATTCCTCGGCAATCATATTTATTACAAGAATAAAGCGTAGCAATTATTAATCTACTAATAAAACACAAACTATTATAAATGCCCCCTTAGGTCAAAGCGCATTGCAGTAGAAGTTATCTACCAGAAAACACTTCTATACTATTAATGAACTGTAAGTTCTTACATAGAATAAAATTAATTTTAAACATAGACAAAAAAAATTTGTTTTTAAATATACTTTATCTAGTCTCTAGTCCAACATTTTTATCTTTATATATATATAAGAAGAAGAAGAAAGAGAGATTAAATTTTACGTCATAGAATACCATATTATCCAGTTTTTCAATTTTCGAATATGTGACCTTCCAATGACCCTGTTTGTCCGAAGTTCGTAAAGAACAGAGAAAATCAAGACCATAAAATGGTCAGAGGAAGCAATTCTCTCTGGATTAACTGTTATTAGGATTTTTTAGTGCTTCCTTCAGTGGACTTTTGTATTTAAACACTGATAGAGAACTACTTTGTGAAAATAATGTCTAAGAAAGCTTCAAATGGAATCAATAGATTATTTCTGTAAAAAATATAAATATAAAAAAACTAAGCTTAATGTAATATATTTTTATATAAAAAATATTTGTTAAATACAGAAATCAAACTTTTACATTTTTTTTATATATAAAATTTAAATTGTACCACATACGTATACTTATAAATTTTCTTTTTTTTTTTTATCAAAGAGAATTCGCCGTGTAAACATTTTACGAAATATTTTTTTCTGTTTATTTTTATTTATAAAAATATAATAATTTTTTTATATATTGGATTATTTAGAAAAAAATATTTACTTCAGATATTATTTTAGCATAAACAAACTCTTCGAATATTTTCGTGCTTCTTTGAACAAGATGAATTTTGTTTTTGTTTTTCTTTACAAACATAGTTAAGTAATAAAATTTTCATAATTTTATTTAATAAAATTTGGAATTTAACAAAAAAATATATTATTTATTTATTTTTATTAAAATGTTTGCAATTTTTTTTTCCTAAAAAGAATATATATATATAATTATTGACTTATATCGTTATAAATTCTAGTGAAATTCCACGTTTTGTTATCGTGATACGATTACTATTTACTAACTTTGTTTTCACAAATTGCTATNTAGCTAAAAATTCTTACATTTGAGAGATTTTCTAACTCTCCTTAGACACGAGTAAAGTGTGTCGACTTTCTCGGTGGTTGTTACCCACCTTTTACGATGCCAAGCAGGGAGCATAAATCATACACGTCACAGGACAGAAAGCGATGGTAGCAGCAATGATAAACCCAATCTCTGCAATACACGTGCAAAATGTAACAAACTGCGACCGATTTCATGTGTCCAATAAATTAAAGAGAAAGAAAGTAGCCCTGGTATACCTTGTATAGGATCTAAAGATAACAATGCCAAAAGTAAATCATAAACTATCAACCTTAGTAGAAAGTGAGAAAGAAGAAAAGGAAAATAATAATAAAATAAAATAAAAAAACGAAGTTAAAATGAGTTAAACAATAAAACACGGTTGTAAATTCCTCGGCAATCATATTTATTACAAGAATAAAGCGTAGCAATTATTAATCTACTAATAAAACACAAACTATTATAAATGCCCCCTTAGGTCAAAGCGCATTGCAGTAGAAGTTATCTACCAGAAAACACTTCTATACTATTAATGAACTGTAAGTTCTTACATAGAATAAAATTAATTTTAAACATAGACAAAAAAAATTTGTTTTTAAATATACTTTATCTAGTCTCTAGTCCAACATTTTTATCTTTATATATATATAAGAAGAAGAAGAAAGAGAGATTAAATTTTACGTCATAGAATACCATATTATCCAGTTTTTCAATTTTCGAATATGTGACCTTCCAATGACCCTGTTTGTCCGAAGTTCGTAAAGAACAGAGAAAATCAAGACCATAAAATGGTCAGAGGAAGCAATTCTCTCTGGATTAACTGTTATTAGGATTTTTTAGTGCTTCCTTCAGTGGACTTTTGTATTTAAACACTGATAGAGAACTACTTTGTGAAAATAATGTCTAAGAAAGCTTCAAATGGAATCAATAGATTATTTCTGTAAAAAATATAAATATAAAAAAACTAAGCTTAATGTAATATATTTTTATATAAAAAATATTTGTTAAATACAGAAATCAAACTTTTACATTTTTTTTATATATAAAATTTAAATTGTACCACATACGTATACTTATAAATTTTCTTTTTTTTTTTTATCAAAGAGAATTCGCCGTGTAAACATTTTACGAAATATTTTTTTCTGTTTATTTTTATTTATAAAAATATAATAATTTTTTTATATATTGGATTATTTAGAAAAAAATATTTACTTCAGATATTATTTTAGCATAAACAAACTCTTCGAATATTTTCGTGCTTCTTTGAACAAGATGAATTTTGTTTTTGTTTTTCTTTACAAACATAGTTAAGTAATAAAATTTTCATAATTTTATTTAATAAAATTTGGAATTTAACAAAAAAATATATTATTTATTTATTTTTATTAAAATGTTTGCATTTTTTTTTTCCTAAAAAGAATATATATATATATAATTATTGACTTATATCGTTATAAATTCTAGTGAAATTCCACGTTTTGTTATCGTGATACGATTACTATTTACTAACTTTGTTTTCACAAATTGCTATCATTGTAAATTATACATTCTCTATAATACTCAATGGTGCACAACTGCATCTACTTGACTCAAAGTCAATAAACATAGTTT